AATATAGACATAAAGGTTAAAAAAAATATTAATAAAATTAATATAAATTACTTAATAATTAAAAAATAATATAAAATAGTATAAAATAATAAAATTAATTAATATATTTTTAAATATACTTATATAATTTAGATAGTAAATATATTATTAAAATATAGCTAATTTTATTAATTAAATATATTAATTAACTAGTATAATAAATATTCAGCTTAGTAGAATTGAGAGATAGAAGATAAAATTAATTAAGATCTTAAGATAGTTATAAAGATAGTAAAACCGTGCTGGCAGAATATCAAACTAAACGAAAACACCCAAGTACGCTACATTAGGCCTATTTATAGACCCTGAAGAAGATTTCCATTAACCTAACCTAACCTAGCCAAATACTAGTCTAATTCTTAAAAATATTTATATAATCTAGATATTAATTATAGTATTAAAATATAACTATATTTTATTAATTATATATATTAAATAATAAATATAATAATTGTTAAAATTAGTAAAATTAAAAGATAAAAAATAAAACTAACTAAAATTTTAAGATAGTTATAAAGATAATAAAACTTTACTAACAGAATATTAAACTGTAAGAAATCGCCTAAATACGCTATATTCTATTTAATATTATTTTTCATATATTATTAGTAGTTTTTTAATATATAATATATTAATTTTATAATTATTTATATATTTTCTATATATTAAATTCCATGTACTTTCTGTATAGCTAACTTTAACTTTTATAATTTCCTTTTCTAAATACTATAAAAAGTAATCCTTCGGGTGTTAGCTGTCCTGTTATCGGCTATCGTTAATAGTTATCCTATAATATTCTACCTTATATACCTTCCTTTAATAAGTACACTAGACAAGGGTCTGTAACAGGGAGATCCAAATTGCTTCCCGGGAGGTCCCTTTAACACGACTCTATATATATAGGATAAATATACAATTTTAACTAGATCAGAATATAAAATGCTTATTATTATCATATACTCATACTCCTAAGTTTCCACTTCTAAGTCCCAAGTTCTAACACCACTCGACCACTGTATACTACAAGAATGCCCTAGGAGCCTACTGCCCAGTTATGCAGAACAACTGCGCAGGGTCCATGCTCGGAAGAGGTTTCGTCACTAATGGGTGTCCCAGAACTAGACCAGATCTCGATGGACAGGGAATTCAGCCGATAGCCGCTGGACAATGTTTTGACAATAGCAGATACCCGCCTAGCCTGTGAGTGGTCGCCGCACTCGAGCACCACAAGCTTCGCCCGAATCTGGAATGATAGCAAAATGATGTGATAGTAGAAAAGATCCGCCTGTCTACTGAGTCCTAATCCAATAGTAGGATCTCCGGACGTAGGAACCAGTGCAAGCTTTGGTTCAAAAACCCGGACACTACGTGAGGTAGTACCGTCACGAAATGATTCAGGGGATATATATGGTGGGTTTGAGATGACCACATCACATTTTGGCTCCCTATCAAAGGAAAGTCCTTGGTAATTGCGCAGCACTTCCATTGCCGAAGGAAGTCCAGTGCTGTCATGGGTGAGAACGTTGCCGTGCTGGAAAGAAACCTCGGCGGCAGCACGATTTGAAAGCAGACCTTGTTGAACATTACGCGCAAGGTTCTTGTTGGCTAACCCAATGGCCGCAGGGCTGAGATCAATCCCAAGAATCGAAAGCCGACCAATATGAGGGGCAAGGAGCGCATGCAAGAGCAGCGATATGCAGCCACTACCTGTACAGAGATCAACTATGCGGAAGGAACCTTGTTGTTGACCAAATTCATGACGCCCGTGCCTCTGAATGTTGTCCAAGATCAATTTGGCAGTTTGAATGGTGAATGTCTCCGTCTCTGCCCTGCTTTGGAGGAAGATAGACGTATTAGATATATCGAGGTTTTGTTGCAAATATCATTAGAGCAAAACAGGCAAGTTGGGTGTACCTTGGAATCAGCACACCCTTTTCACACAGGATGTCGAGTTCGCCGAAGGGTTGATCGCCTAGGATATACTGCAGGGGCATTCCTTTCGAACGAGTATGGCACATCGATCTAAGGAGCCTTCTCCACCCCAAGGGGACGAGTGTAGACCGTGCAACCTGTTTGGACGTAATAGTGCGACTGGCTCTCTCCTGGAGCCAGCGAAGTTCATTCTTTGCAGAGTCATGCGATCGGCATTCTCGGAGCAATAACGGAAGGAGTGGATTCTCCTGATAGGCCCTTAGGATGGCTAAGTTAGAAATACGCGGCATTGGCACATGATCCGTTCGTAAGGTCCGTATAGGTCTTTATTAACAATGTTTTGTCATTGGGGTGAGAAAGCAGCTAGGGAGCGGGTTGGGGGGAGCTTCAAATGTGGAAAAGTGGGGAATGAATGAAGCACAGAAAGCCCGTAGAAGCTTGACTACAGCGCGGAGCAGTAACGATATATGCGGAGTAGATCAGGCATGTATGGAATGTTTCGAAGATACAGATGTAGATAGCCATGGAATAGATACAGGCGAATCGTCAGCACTGTTAGAGAAAAGAAGTCGACAATAAAGATTACAAGAAACGAAACGATCTCGAAAGAAAAAAAAAAAAAAAGGGCAAAAAAGTAGTAAGCGAGCTAGTATCTAGGGTATCACCATGTAGCATGTAGCCAGTGGGCTTAGGAAGCATAAAGTTAAGCGAAAGACATAAGACATTTGCTGGTGAATATCCATCTACATCAAAAAGCGAGCACATATCCAATTGCCGCTGCGCCAAAGACCAAGTGCTTCGGGGCATTTGTTGGCCCGGCAGGTGTCGCAGCGCCGCCGGTACTTGTTGCTGAAGGTAGATCAGTAAAGATCTCAGCAGTTGGACCCCCGATCCTGGCACCAGACCCATCGGCCACAACAGATGTGACGGGATTTGAAACTTGGGTGGCTCCAGGAACGGAACCGTCGCCAGTTCCAATTTCCAAGATATTATCCCGGGTAGAGTTGAAATTTGTATTGGCGAGGGAAATTTCATTGTTGGATAGATCATATACAACATATGCACTGCGTAGAAACGTATCCCCTAGAACGGCAGTGCTATCTCCAGCTGGTACAATGCCAAAAATGCATGCACGTGCGCCATTCCGGAATCGCAAATCACCTGCATTTAGAACGAGTTCATCAATCCCAACTGTAATAGCAGGTGACGAAAAGGTGTAGGTCACATTAATTTTTTGTTGTGCCAGGGTACATGGCACGTAGCCAACACCGCTGGATGACTCGTATGTGACACCCAGATCATTATAGATGTCTTGCACAATGGAATTTGGAAGATATGTCAGAGAACTCCCCGAGTCAAGCAGGACTGCGGCTGGGAGAGCATCAGAAGATGAATAATTATGGTGACTTGATGCCGAGCTCAATGAGACACCGGTTAGTGCGATTATGAACTCCGAATAGACCCCATTGACGGTCTGAATCGGCAAAGTTTCTAGTTCCCCATGATACTTCTCCGTATTAACGCCACCAAACAAAATCGAGCCAGTATCTGCTCCCAGGTCATTGAGCCAAAGGCTATAAGCATTTGATTGGATTAGACCGTTTTTGACCATAGCTTGAGGTAGATTTGCATAGGCACTTTTACCAAGTCGGCCAACCTGGACCTCGTTCGTTGTATATCCTATTCCCAAAACACCCTCTGAAGAGAGGAAGATTAGTCAACAACACAAGTTTGGTTGAATACTGTAAAGAAGGACGGCATTGACTTACCGGCGGAGCTAGACGAGTAACCCACCCCAAACTGAAAGTCCTTGACGGTAGCGCCTCCGATGTGGATAGTGTCAGTAACATAATCACCGGCGGCTCCAGTGCCGTCAGCGTACGATATGTTGAAATCCGAAGATACGTAAGCATATGATGAAGATGAACCTGGGTCGTAAGACCCTGAGGCGTTGCACGGTTTATCTCTAGATGAGCAAAGCGTAGAATTCGCTGCATTGCACCAAAGATCACTGCTTCCTGTATCGAGAACCAACCGTAGGTTTTGCTTTGGTGTGCCTAAAGTTATGTTACAGAAATATAGCGTTTCCTATGTCACATGTGGTGAATTAGTGGCCATACATCGAGTTAACAGTCTGGTCGACATACCTCATTGTCAAGATTCTGCTCAACGGTCTTGTCGCGCTTCCGTCTCATCCGATCTCTAGCCACAGGGTCGACGGCATTATTTCGTTTGATATCCAACGATACAACAGCCGGAGAGTCTCTTCGGTGGAGCGTCAGCGCTGCTGTCCCCTGCAAGCCAAGGCAAGTAGCGAGCAACACAAGCCATGACTTTTGCATCATGCGATTTCCCTTATTCTTTCTTTCTTTCTTTGACTCAAATCCTACGAAAGAAGGCCCCAGGCCTTCTTCTTACATAAATCAGTGCTCACCAAGGCCCTCGAGCTGGCAAATGAGCAAAAGCCTCTTCCGGCCCACCGTACCTTTAAGACAATAATCAATCTCACGTTGGGACAAGGGAATCAAAAATGGCAAAAAAACTTTGAGAAAAGATAGAATAGAGACAGTCTGAAAGGAAGCTCTTATGTACAACTGCTGATGAGGACATGGCTGCGTTCTTGTATGGTAGCGGAAAGCACTAATCTTTGGAACTGATGTCGTACGCTGCATGCGGTCCGGTACTGTTGATTGCTTGACTATCCGGAGTACATATCGCGCAAGACTCCACTCAGACCGCCTCGGCAAAGGTCGGAGTGGGGCTTTCAAAAATTAGTCCAATCGGCCAATGTCAATGTGATGCTTGTAGTCGTCATCATCATCATTCATCATGTACTAGTACTAATAATACCGAGATTCCATGTCTGCAGAGGCGCTAGGCTACAAAATACTCTAACTGGTACTTAGTACGTAGTAATCTGACTTGACTTACTTCGTATATACTAGATACTATTGGTTGTTTTAGAATATTTTCGAGATTCTTCGTGGTATAGCGTGGAAAGCTTAAGAGAAAGCCGATTACTCCATACTCCGTACTGACATAGGGCTTTCGGTACGGAGGACGGGCACATTTGGCGGCATCACTGGAGAATCGGCTGGCTCGGGAGTCAACTCAAGTTTCAACTCACGTCATGGTGGTGGTCATCGGAGGCCTCAGGACCTTTCGGTAAACTCCACTGCGTACAACAGACCAAGCAGCATTACTCCATACATTGTAGTATACCACACCGCAAGTACTGACGAACACCTTACTACTAGCCAGAGCTTCTTTCTACTGGAACGGTCTCGTAGACAGGTCACGTACCTACCGCATAACTATGCTGCAGGTCAGTTCGGGTCTTGCCTAGTGGGTCGGGCGGGCCGAAACCGCCTAATAGGCAGAAGGCGGAATACTACCGGGTTACGTAGTACGTAGTTGAAAAACACAACCGTAGAGTTAAAATTAGAGTTTTTAACTATTTTCTACGCCAGAGTAACTGATTTATAATTATAACTACTTAAAATAAGTACATAAAATAAATCAGACTTCAATAAAAAATACAGGAAAATTTATAAGTTCGTCTGAGTTGTTTTTTTACTTATTAATAGCCTTAGCAGTTACGAGGAGGGGGATATGGCTCACATGTCACGCTGCTCACGCCTACCTATCTAGAAAATCTAGTTATGTGGCTTATTCAGCACCAAAAGCAGGCTCGTTGGTTGAGTCAGTAGACCTAGACAGGGTTTATAGGTGCTTTTAACTTGTAGTATAACTGAAAACTATACGGATAGGCTGGTACTACAGTCTACTCTGTAGAACTAGGCTGAATCCTGACGGGGCTGGACTAATCGAGGTCTTGCAAGTTCCTGAAGCAGGCTAGCAAGACTACTACATAGTAGCGAGATTAGTGAAATAGCCCTCTAACTATCTATCATTCAACGTGCCACACAATGTTATTGTGTTGCCTATCTTAGGCAACAACAATGTATTTTGACATAAAAGTAGCACAAAAGTACGTCAAATGATAGCAAATCCACTGTTCCCCTAAGGAGGCGACTCCGACCCTTACTTTTGATATGGCCGATTTACTATATCATGTAAGATTTAGGGAGAGTATGAAAAAACTATAATACAGTATAGATACATGATGTTTACGTATATGCAAACGCTAGCCCTATCGCCTTAATCGGGACTATTCACTGCTCATTAGGGAAAGCAAAGGTCATGAAAAGCCATGGATGCCCTAATAGAAAGGATGAATGGCCCTTACAGCCCCATGGCTTTCTTAACCTGTTTCATAGTCACATCGGCATTGGCACGTGCAGCCTGGGCACCTTGCTCTGCGACAGTATCCAGATATCCAGAGTTGTCTTCCATGAGCGAATAGTACCGCTCTCTTATTCCTTGCAGGTGACCTGAGATTCGACTTGCCAGGTCTTCTTTCAGAGCTCGAAGGCTCACCGATTTATACTCCAAAGATAAGTCGTCGCACGATCTTGCGTCCAAGTGGCTTAGAATTTCTATGAGATTAGACACGCCCGGCCGACGGACAGGATCATAGGTTATGCTTGTGTCCGAGTCAGTTAGAGCAGCCTTAACTTTCCTGTGAATATCATCAGATGAATCAGTGAGGAGGATTCTTGATCGGCTGTCGGCATGCGACTTGGACATTTTCAAGGTGGGCTCTTTGAGAGACATAACTCGCTTTGCAGGTGCTGTATAAGTCAGCGCAGTTCTAGGGTCTATTTTTGTATCGTGATTCGTGAATAGGAGGCTTACAGATGAGTGCCTCTGGAGATGGGAAAATATGGCCGTAGAGGTGGTTAAAACTATTAGCAGTATACCTGGAAAACTCAATGTGCTGTCTTTGATCCTCCCCAACAGGAACATGAGTAGCCCTGGCTCGTGTCAGTACAGCTTCATCCCTTATAATTAACTACCGAACCTGTGCAATAAGATGTCCGCTGCCTGCAATACAGGGTAAGAGAATAAGCCAAGCCGCAGCTTAGACCTGGCAGCCGAATGCTCCAGGTTTGTGTTTTCTGGTAGTTGCAACTTGCTCTATATGTAGTCAATCTCAAGGTCCATGTCTGACATTTACGTCTGTTTGCTTCCCAAGACAAATTGCGCCTTATTTTTAATGTTCACTATTGCTCACCTTCCATTGAGTCATCCGTGACAGGTATCCCATAGAAGCCACTGTACTTAGGATCCAATATAGTTCAGTATGCGCAGGAACCTAGCCATAGTCAATGGGTGCGCTTGGATGGGAGTGTAGAGCATCGGGGTTCAATTGATTAGAACGTACAGCCGACTGGTAAAAAATGGTTGAGCGATCGGGGTTCAAGCCTACAGCGAGCAATGTCGCAAATGCCTCCCTCCGCCACTTCTTCAACTGACAACTGTCTTGTGGTATAGTCAAGGCATGCAAGTCGACTATGGAGTAGAATAACCTCGTCCCCTCGGTAGCATTATCCTGTAGCCTGACCCATTCACGCAAAGCACCCAGATAATTCCCCAAGTGTGGCACACCAGTTGGCTGAATCCCAGAAAATATAGTCTGACTAGATATTGATGATGGCTGCGCTGTGACTGAGCTACTCCATCTTCGGAGGTGGCTTTTCATGTTGAACTTGATATCCCTCGACTGCAAGAGGGCATTTGTTGCCCTGTGAGTGCTTGGGGTGCATGATGCATAGCGGCTGACATGCATGTCTAGCGGCTACGTTTGAAAAATGAGAGAGACTTGAATGCATTGGTGTGCGCATTTGTCCCAGTCTCTTTAAAGCAGCAGTTCAATGTATGCGTGGAGCACGTGACTTTCTGCCTCCTGTTGCTTTCAGTGCGGCCAACGCAACATTACCACACTATTTATATGAATCCCATGATTATATTATTCAGACTATGATCCAGGCAATAGAATAGTACAATATGGATTGAGAAGTCTTGTGCTAAACTTATCAGACTAATATATAAGGCTAAAAATAGAAATACAGAGATTTGACGTGAGCAGCACTCAATGGCAAAGTATACAGAGAACTATTGGCTTGAATTTAGCCTTTGCGGACGCTGCTTAATGGACTTCTGTGCTTCGGAAGTCGCATGCCACCCAGAAGATCAGGTATCGAACTCTGCGCCCCTTCACCACTCCGTTGACCGAAGTGTGATAGGTGAGGCTCAAGGGACCGTTCAACTTCAGGGGCCGCCTTATCTATATTCTTGAACACATCTGTAGCCATGGGTTAGTTACTAAATTTGAGGGTGATATAGAATAAGATAAAAATAAATTCTAGCGTACCAAGGCTCTCGTGTTCCCAAACGTTAGCTTTCATGCCCACTCCATAGAAAGCATGCTTTCGTAAGAATGCCAACCACGTCTGTACAGCCTCAGGGTTGCCATCCTTGATTTGAATCAGTCGGCGAAGAGTAATCCGTTCGAAGTTTTCCTGGCTTTTCTTGTGCACGAAATTGCTTCGAGGGAATGTCCAACGTTCAACGATGCGTGGCAGAGGCACAGGACCGGAGACAGGAAGTTTTAAGTAGTAGGCAGCACGCACGGCGAAATCAGCGAAGAACTCCACATTGCGAACACTGTACGACCGAAGTTGAAGATCGCAAACCGGCAATCCGTATTCGGCTTTCCTTCGGAGAGGCCGCAAATACACTGCTTGCACACTTCGAGGCAACCTGGATTTAGAGTTGATACCGTCCAGGCGCTCCGCCCTGTTGGAAGGGTAAGCGCACGTCTCTCCTAAAGATTGATCATTGAAAAGAGCTTGTAATGACTGACCAGTTTTTGGTACATGATGCAGGATGTTGGTCCCGTTTCGTTGAGCTAACAACAGCCGAAAGTCAGCCAGAGCTTGCATCGAATACTATACAGAAGCCACTTACAGTGGTGATATTTCAGCTATGCTCTGAGGTACGTCAGAGCTTGAATTATCGATAGCATCTGGGCTACTTGGCAAAGTGATGCTGCGAGCGGGCACTGCGAACTAAGTAGAATTATTAGCATTATCACTCGGGGTGTACTATATGAAACAAGTAATACCAGCGATTGCTTGCAAGTCCTGGCCAGCAGACGGGAGTTGAAGACCAGAGACATTTCAGTACATCGAGTAAGAAGCAGAAGTAGAAAATCTAATTATGATTAGCATGAAGTGTTTGGAAAGATGCTGCTACAATACGGGTGTCTTGGTGGCTAGCCTTCCATCTAATTTTTGGGATTCCAGGCTACCATCATGATTCGCTTGTCTGCTTACCGCCTTTCTCAGGACCACGTACTGGTAGGTACTTGAGACTGATGCCTAAGGCAATATTTGCGCTTGAGGGTCAAAAATGGAAGGTTAAAAAATATTGAAGACTAAAAATAATAATAATAATAGAGAAGGGGGTAGAAAGGAGGGAGAAATAGTGAAGGCTGTCGCACCAGTTACTGAATGATTGGTACACCACCACTTCTTGGCACTGGTCACCCAATTTTTCTATTCCGTACCCAGCTCCAAGTTAGATTGACAGATGAAGATTCTGAACTTTGTTTGACCGAAGATGACTTGCCCATCAGGAGACTCGTGCTCGCCTGAAAGAGTCCACGAGGCGTTTTCGTTCCTCAGGGAAAATTTACCAGTCTCTTTACAAAATCCTAAAGTTGCAATTGTGTGTGGCTCTGGTTTGGGGGGCCTGGCAAATACTATTCGTGATGAGCCACGGGCAGAGTTTGATTATTCTTCTATTCCACATTTCCCACATCTAACAGGTAAGAAACGAGCATGCTCTCTCTACATTGAGTTCAACATACTCATTCACCTGATAGTTCCTGGACATGCAGGCAAACTTATCTTCGGCCTTCTGGATGAACAGGTGCCTGTTGTTTTGATGGTTGGGCGTGCCCAGTAAGTTTCCTAAACGACATGAGAAAAGCCAGTTAACTTACGAATACGCCCTTGAAAGCTACTACGAGGGTCATTCTATCAACCAAGTGACATTCCCTGTTCGAGTTTTCAAATTGCTGGGGGTGGATACTCTAGTGTGTAAGTTTGAATTCATTTGATATATGCAATTTGGCTAATAACCATTTTTAACAGTGACTAATGCTGCGGGAGGTTTGAATTCAGAGTATGCGGTCGGCGACATTGTATTATTGAACGATGTGAGTTATTTGTTCCTTTCGCTAGTTCCCAACCCTCCAGATTCCATTTGACATAGGCATTTAGCATATCTTCCTGGCCGGTTTGGCAGGCACTCATCCACTCAGAGGAGCGAACGCCGAAGAGTTTGGTCCTCGCTTTCCCCCTTTGTCAGATGCTTACGACCTCGAGCTCCGACGTCATGTGCATACAGCTTGGGGGGAGGTGATGCAGGCAGAAAGCCAACGACGGCTGCATGAAGGTGTGTATGCTTTTGTTGGAGGACCCAGGTAAGTACCAAGGTTGTACAATTGCAAGGCATTGTCTTCTAAAGCAACCCAGTTACGAAACAAGGGCCGAATGCCGCATGCTTCATAAACTCGGCGCAGACGTGGTTGGCATGTCAACTGTACCAGAAATTGTTGTCGCCAGACACTGTGGCATCAGAGTCTTAGCACTTAGTTTGGTAACAAACTGTGCTGTTCTCTCTCCCGTTCCTCGTGGAGACGATCGTCTTTTACAGGGAAAGGGCGTCGAAGAGCTGGGTGCTATTCTGCAGGAGGGTAAAGCAAACCATGAGGAAGTTCTCGAGGCTGGCCGTTCAGCAGCCATTGATATGCAGGTCCGCACCCAGATGATATCTCTGTCATGCTTGATTGAAACTAACGCCTACCAGAGGGTTGTAGTCCGAACCATATTGGGCGCATACAAGGGCGATTAGTATGTGCGATCGCACTTTGGATGGCTCGGAGTGAGATGACGGGCAATTGCTCAGAATCGCCCAATTCATCGCGAACCGTTAATTTAGCCCTGCCTAAAAGCATACCAAGAATGGTTCGGGAGATATCCTTACAGTATCATGGTTTAAAGAGCCGTCCATGTAAGAATGACATCAGCCTTATCACTTGCCTTTTGAGCTTCTCTTGGCTTGCAGATGCTTGTAAAAGGATTTCTTGCCGCTCTGCTTGCTGGTCTGTATTTCTCTGTATTTAGACTCAAACCGCCTGTTGTGTCGCTCTTGGTCTAGTACTTCTTCCACGAAAGTCCTCTTGCGATCTTTCTTGGCAATGCGACCACTGAAGAACTCAGTTGGACCTTCAATAATGGTTCCCACTTGAGAATACTTAGGCGGCTGTGCTTTTCCATTTTCTTTCTTGTAGTGTCTTTTAGGATCTAATACCGATCGCATTCTGAGAAGTTGTAAATCCCTTTTGAATTCTGGTGTCAATTCTGTCTGGGGAAGGTCGAACCAGTTGCTGCCAGCTGTAGGTTTATCCTATACAGTCATATTGTTAACTTCCAACCCAGCCTGAATGATTTAGAATGACGGTTGTTTGACAAGAATGCTCAGAGTAACTATGAAAATTTGGCTCTCATTGGTACAGCGCAGCCCAGTACGGACTGTTGAAGCTGTATCAAGCGCTTAAGCGAAGGGATAATTTTCCTCATAGCAACAACATAATAGGGACTCATGAAAATTGGGTGTTTTACCTTTTTCACTTTCGGTTGTTTGGGCTCCTTGTAGCCAAGACCATCATGTGCATCCTGCGCGTTCTTCAGGACGCGTGTGGTATCGATCGTTGTAAAATCATCCTTCTGTAGGAGGTAAGGCTGCAGAGAACGATCTGAGCATAACCTAGGAATACTTTTCTTACATATCAGCTGTGATTCTGGCCACATACTAGTTGTTTGCAAGGTGCTCAAGATATGTTCTAGTAAGCTCTACATACCTTAACAAGGTGTGCTGAGGCTGATTGCCAGATACCTCTCTGGTATCAGGGCGATTAGTGGAATTCACATCTTGAGCACGTAGTCGGCCTTCCGCCTCAAAAAGCAGCTCCTCAATATCATGGTCTGTGATATCAACTTGATCATGACCGTTGTTGGCTCCAACTTCACCACATATTGTTTGAGTCATGTCCTCCAGTCCTAGAAGGAGTGTGTGGGAAACAACCGAGATGCTGGTTATGTGGGCTTTGAGAGGGGAAGAAATAAAATAGGGAAAGAAAAGAAGAGACTGAAATTTTCCAAGGTCGCTTATATAGGCGGTAGCTGACTAGTCTCTTATTGTCTGCACAATTTTCTTGTGTGGGGCTACTCAGCGGTAGCCAACCTAGCACTAACTAGGTAAGCGCCTCAATTATCGATCCATCCATGACAGACTATGGTAGCTGGAACTTGGTGGAGGTCTTGAGTTCGGGGGAGAATGACCTCTAGTTTTTCTAATCTGTAGAGTATATAAGCAGACTAAATCATGTTGTTATCAGCCTTCCATGTCTCCTCCATGCTAGGCGCTCTTTTTGTGTCGCTTAGAGCTACGTTCAAGGGAGCTATTGCTTTTTCTTTCTTCTTGGTTTCTCTTTTCCGTGTATCTTCTATCTGGCTGGCCTCTTGCAGGGGTAGGAATCCAGTCTTTGTTCATCCTCATATATCATGTGTAGAGGCAAGAATGGACATTTACATATATATTTGCAGTTGTTTAACCTAAGTTATCAATACCCACGCCATACGATTCTTAGCATTCAGGAATAGAAGATGTTATGTTCTCAAAACACGGGGTGCTCCGTACATATGTATATACAAGTTGTGCCATTTCTTCACGCGATAGACCATACAGTATGGTATGTACAGTGGCCTGTGACTGCAGAGGTAGAGCTATAATACACTACAAATATCTGGTTTAATATGCAAGATCAAATTGTTAATCCTCATAGTTTGGGCAGGTGTAAGAATACGAGTTAAACTGTACCACTACCGATATAATAAATCTCTATGCAGAGCAATAATATAGAGCAGCAACTTATTTACCCATTGTGTTTTCCCTTCCTCGTTTGCTGTTTTCAAGCTATCGTTGGTGATGACGGATTCCCCGCGTTGAGGTGCTTCCAAGACGTCACGCTTAGCGGGCGCTTGCCTACGCGCTACTTTCCGCTGCTCAGGCTGAACAGTACCACGCGCAACCCATCTTGTTGTCCCAATCCATAACAACAGGACCACCCTGCAGCCGCCTCTTCTGATTCATTCAATTGCTCCTCTCCTATACAGCCTCTCTGAAACTCCGGGATAATAAATTTATTTGGCTAAGACTCTGCAGCAGATTTCAAATTCCATCTGCTCATCGTCATACCCGTTGGCTCGACAATCTCACCAAAGCAGACTCCTCCACCATATCCGATACCACATAGCCCGGAATATATCGTTAGTGCATGCCTGTGGCCGGCCAAACTTTCTATCCAAGATTCTATAACCATGGATCAAACCGCCCAAGGTGCTAGCCAGCAGCAGGGCAGACAGCAACCTGTCTATGATACTAGAAACGGTGGACACTATGGTAATCATCCCTCAAAACCTTCGGGTCTTCTATTCTCTCTTCTTCTCTCCTTGAGAACATTTCCCTTTACTCTATACCAAAAGGCGCCTTAGCAAACACTAGGCTAACATGGATATTCAGGTGCCAGCGCAGCGGTATGTTCTGCCTACGAGGATCGTAGATGCTCTTATCAAGTCTGTAGTTGCCTGACTCGTCGTGTATTAGCTTTCTGCACAGGGATATGCGCCTGTAGCTGAGCTTTATACGGGTACTTGGGCGAATGTGGGTATTATTTCATTCAGGTAGATGGCTCCGCAAGAGGGTACTAATGTGAACCAGGTCAACCAAGGCTTGCAAGGCACGGCTCGTGATATTCTGACAACGTATTGGCAGCATATCATCAACCATCTCGAATCAGACAACCATGATTATAAAATCCATCAATTGCCATTAGCGCGTATCAAGAAGGTCATGAAAGCTGATCCAGAGGTGAAAATGATTTCAGCCGAGGCACCAATCCTCTTTGCTAAAGGTTGTGATATTTTCATTACCGAGCTGACTATGCGAGCTTGGATACACGCCGAGGACAATAAGCGGCGCACTCTGCAGAGATCAGATATTGCTGCAGCTCTCTCAAAATCTGACATGTTCGATTTTCTCATTGACATAGTTCCCCGTGAGGAGGCCACGTCGCACGCAAAGCGATCGAGTCAGGCAGCAGGTGCACCATCGGGGGCTCCTGGGCCTGCAGGCGCTGCAGGACAACTTCCACCATCTCAACACGGAGTGCAGCACCCCTCACATCACATGGCACCACCCGACTACAGCTTGGGCCAACATGGTCTTCAAGACCAAGAATATCGTCAACCAGCTATGTATGCGGGACCTGTGCAATCAGATCCAACTGCAGCATATGGTCAGCCGCAATCTCAAATGTTCGAAGGAATGTATGCCGCTTACCCGCACTTACCGCCGCAGCAGGTATGTCCAAGACCATCTCATACTCACATTTCTGTGGGATAATTCACCGTAGAGTTATCTTTGCTTGTCGAATTATGTCCGGCTAATCATAACTTCTGGCTTCAAAGTGATCGGGTGCGCGATGCGATCGTACATTACCCAGTTGGTTTTTTGTAGTCCCTTATTTGCGAGACTTGGGCTTTGATCTTCATAATGGAGTTCTTCTTTTTCGTGATAGGCTGGTGATATCTATCAGTCTAACTGGTGGAAAGGATACGGTAACGTAATTATTTGGTGTCGTCAGACTCCAGATGCACCATAAATTATTTCATCTTCGATACTCGTTGAAATGAGCTATGTGTTTACATTTCCTCATATCCTACATCCCGCACTTGCTTTAATAAGGGCCTACACAAACCTAGTCACGGCCCTGTCTAGGATTTCTTTCCGAATCTCGAAGAAAGTGTCGTAAATTTGTCAGTCTTCACGGGACTTTGAATAGAGCGAATCACCCTTCTATAGGTTAGTATGTCCGGCTATTATGGGTTCTCTGAAAACATACTTTTCCAGGAGGACTGGGCCGTTGATGGCGTCTACGCGACCATACTTCTTATTCCGAGTAGAAATATCATAGAACTCATCAGTATTATCCGCCTGCATCAACTGCACAGTTTGCTGGAGTTCATCGAGGTTTTCCCGAAGGATAGGCACACCAAGACTATCGACAAAGTGATAGAGATATTCAACGTCCTTTGCAAGGGCCATGACACCATTCGGGTTGATCTTCTTTACATCTGCGGCAAGGGGGAGCGCCTAAGACGAAAGGTTAGCAGAGCCCAAGACTATGATTCAGGCTTCCTCAATTGCGTACAAGAATCATATTTGCTGCATGGCTAAGAGCATCAAAGTAAATAAGCTCCTTGATCTCAGTAGGGAGCCCGAGTAATGTCGAATTCATTATATTGGATAAGAACCGAGTCAGAGTTTGCATGTAGTTGCTCGGTTCTGTAGGCGGAACTAGAGCCATCCAGTCATATTCCGCGGTTTCAATGAGGTCGTCAATCTTGGAGTTAACCACCTCAAAGATACGCTTCTCTGCCGCCTTTTTATTGCTCCTGAACTTTTCGGTGGCTTTAAGAGTTATGGGACCACCCGTGGAGTTATGTGACCTCGCTGCTGCAAGGAGGCTTTCGAGTTCATGACAAGCGAGCTCAAAATGCTCCAGATTAATGAGTATCTGAACGATCTGCCCCAAATATTGAGAAGCAAGGCGCTCAACCAACGTATCACAAACTCTACTTGAAAGAAGTTCATCGAGTGCCTAGACATGTTTAGTATCATTTGCGGCGCTTACCTATGTTAGACTTACATCTTTAAGAGATTCGTCGATGACATTTGAGTGGGAGAAATCGTCGTTGGCAAAGAAATAGAATTGATTCAGGAAATTCCGGATGTCAATGCAACATAAGGGATACATCTGAGAAAAAGGCAAGACACACGGGAAACTAGAATAACGAGTTAGTGTCGATGAATCAAAATTAATGAGGATCAAGTATATCAATGTACGTTTGCTCTTCCCGTGGTTTCTCGGGTGTGTACCAGCTAACATTGAGTACTTTGTCAAACTCCTCCAGCGTCTGGATGGGCATAGGCATATAATCATCTGTGGATACAATCTTCGATGACTTTAGTACAACGACAAGTATTTAGGGCGGAAGAATATACCTCTTGAAAATCGTCACTGAACCTCTTCTTGAGCAATTCGGCATACTTCTTGAAGAGAGTGAGCAAGAAGTTGTCAAAGACACCAACAGGGAAACCCCAACTCTACATTCAAAAAAGTTAGTGTCATCAGTTAGTGCGGTGAATGAGTCAGAAGGATGGCAGACATTCATTGTTTGCATGAACAGTGCAATAAGATTCTTGATCTTCAACAAACTCTCGGCATTATCGACTTCGGGGAGAGCCTTTAATATCAGGTTCACAGCTGTTTGGCACATAGAATCCCAGAGTTCATCTACCTATTAAATCTTGTTAGATTCATAACTCATAAGGCACGTATAAAGGTTAGTGCTCACATCGACTGGAGATCGCAAGTCCGGCACTCTCTTCATTGTAGATCGTTCAACAATCGCAAATCCAGCCATTTCTTCGAGAAGATTATGTAGGCTTGCGCCATCCTCATCAACAAGAGTTACTGATGCAGGTATCAATAGCTCCTTTTGTCGACGACGTGTGTTGGCATACTCAATCCTAAACTTATCCATATGTCCAAGGGACTGGTGAATGTGTAAGCATTCAAACAGCGGTGTGAAGTCGACTTGTAGTTCATCGTTCTGTAGGAGGTCATATTCCTCATGTTCATCAGAAACAAGCTCGATGGCGGAATTTAGTTTAAAATGGCCAAGATATGGTGTTATGTCGGCTCTCTCCTTCTGCCTCGTTTTACGGAGGTCTGTATGATACAAGGCGATTTCCCCCAGATACTGTGACATCTCCCGAATTCTGTACAGCCAAGTATTTAGATCAGACATCACTGCCTCAGCTATGGCCTTTTGAGTGGCTGGCACTGAGCGCTGAATCATGTCTGCAATTTTGTACTTGGTCACACCCTTGAGGTGAACATTTTGGAGCTCATCAAGGGCTCGAAGGGCAGCATAATGGTTTTTCCTCGCTAATAAATCATGGATTTGGTTTGCGAGGCGGAGAACCTCCAGGCAATCCTGAATAGCACGCGAGGTTTCATCAATATTTTGACGGTGGCTTCGTGATTCAACCAGAGCTCTCTTCTGCTCAGCTAGCTTTTCAGTACTAGCTTGGATGGATTGATTTAGGTCCAAAATTTCGGCTGTTAGGCTCACAGTACCTTCTCTAATACGGAGGAGTTGATTGACAGATGTAACGAATTCTTGGTGATTGGTGTTGCAGATGGTTTCTATTTCAGCTTCCTTATCGCTGGCAAACCTAGACAAGGACTGTAGTAGCTGTGGAGTTCGATTTCCCACACTATATTCCTTTATTGAAGGAATCAACTGGTCAAGATAATCTGTATCTGAAGGTGATATGATAATCTGAGAAGTCCAGACAAATTAGAGTAGTCACCAACTTTCTTTTTCTGACTCTGACCTGATTCAAGACATATGCAGATTCATTGCGAGAAGAAACCATAGAAGGCATGATGATAGCTTAATTTAGGTATCAAGCTTTTGAAGCATTGGTGGAAAGTAATGTGCAGAGAAGTGAATGACTGCAGTATAGGATTGCTTCATTGCAGATAACCCAGTTGAATTGCTGTCTGTACTTTGGTACTTCCGTCCGTAATTTACTATACCTATTAAGACAAGGCATGTGGATACTACCTTGCTTGCTCTAGCTCCCTAGTACCAATAACTTAGCCTTACTGTTTATGGTATAGTGCAACTACTCCCGTCAAGCCTTACTGTTTTCTAAGTGCTGGACAGACTAGTGGGGTGTTAGCTCCGACAGAGAGTAAACTTGGTGGTACTGTACATACATAAATGTGGTACTACTAGTGATGCATCGATCTGGTACCCTTTTTCTTATTCTTCTTAGTACATCCCTCGGCCCCTACTTACCATTTTACTAGCTGTTATAGTTGTGACCTTTCTGTAGTGTTCCATAGACTAAATGACTGGCATTTCCCCCTTTTTCATTTGAAACAAAGATCTACCACGAACATATTCGCAAAAGGAAGAAGACTGTGAGCCAAATACAACTAGATGGCTAAAGAATTCGTATATAGATCACCATTTGCAAGATTTCAACTACACTTCCTTCTTAGGGCTTCTCTTAACTTTATTTCTTTTAGTGCTCTCACTCTCTAGTCTGAGGTTTAGAATGCTATGTTGTATATACTTTGAGAAGGAGGTGAAAGGGATTGTTTCTCCAAGTAAAAGATATCATCACCTTTATAGTAAGTCAGGCGTTCGCATTTTCTGGCGTATCCCAGATTGTGTAGTAGGTACATCAGGATTTGCCTTTATTGAATTGTTCACTGACTGACTCCCACTACCAAGCAAAACTTGCATTTAGGATAGCATGCTCCCCAATATGAGAGTGCACGAATCACTCGCTTCCTATTATTGGCCATTATCCTGAGGCTAAATTACTGTTTTCCATCTTTACACCGTAGCCTGCACAAAATTCTTCTACACATAGTGTCTACTGAATACTAGTAGTTTGCACTGGCCATCTATGTAATCAAAGATACTAGTATATGCGGCGTACTTCCAAATTAAGAATGTGAACTTCCGGCTGGCTTCCCCATACTTGATTTCCTCTACCATATGTTCTGTCGTCATTTTACCCTCCAGTACTCCTTAGCTGTTTCTCTTGGAGACAGGGTGCAATTTTGTGTTTGCCTTCCTCCTACCTCTGTCTAAGTATTTCTTTTCAATGCCTTACACATCCCATCTCACGTAACAAGGTTACAGATCGATCTCATTGTTCTTTGTTGTTATTTGCCTATTCTCTCACATATTGTGTTAGATCAAGTGTGTCTCCAAAGAAAACAAAAAGAAATATAAGATATTTTACAACGATAGCCGCGTGAGATGAAGGCGACCGAGTCTCCTCGTGGTATGAGTAGCCCTTGCTCCACAAGTGGGATAGCTTCTCCAAATGGATCCCCTGATACTAAACTCACGGCTTTTTCGCCGGAGGATGTCCGATCCAAAGGCCGCCCTGGGTCCAGTGCCCATGGTCCAGTAAGCGACGCAGGGCTCCGGAAACTGTATTCGATGCAAGTAGAGATCAGTCATAGTCTTTGGCCTAGAGTTACTAACCTACTTAGGGCCGCATCCGATCCATTCCTGGTGCCGACAAGTACATCCAGAGTGCAACTTTCACCGACTGCAGCGGCTTTTACGCCGGTTGGGATGGCAGATACTGTGACTAATGGCAACCTGGCCCAGTCCATGACCCGTGCCCTCTCCAGTGCTAGCTATCTGGCTGTTGACTCTATTGCCGAAGTAAATGGAACATGCAGCGGGCTTGTAAACCCCTTTGACCAGGGTTCATTGAACTACGGGAACATTGGAAGTGCTCGAGGGTTTAGGAGCCTATCGTCCGGTCCAGTCCTCGAGAAATTTGATTCTGAGCGGCGCAGTCGTGCTCTTGTTATTGAGAATGTCCCGACTAACCTTACATACATGGCGCTGGCTGGGTTTTTTAACGTAAGTTGGTGAAAATATGCCCAGCAGTAGAGTGAAGAGAGACCGTGGCTAACCTGGAGAAGCGGCGTGAATTTGGTACTCTTAAAGGCCCTGTACTCACGGAGCTTAGCTCCATGGGGAAGGTATATGTTTCTTTCACTGATAGCCGTGAAGCAAAAAAGGCGATTGAGAAGGTCCGACTTCTTCGACCAGAATGGCGCGTATTCCCTCTTACAGCCAAGGAATATGTACAGCATACAGAGCCGTCCCTTCTGTCCGATGTTTCTGATTATGAAGGCCAATTGCTTGTGACTGTCTATTATGATTCCCGAAACCCTACCTTGAATCAGCACACGGTTACCCGCTCAATCGAAACGATCGTCACAACTTTTGGTGACATGAAAGCCTTCACTCCCTTGCCCACTGGCCAAGAGGACATTAGCGAGTTCCATCTCGAGTTCTTTAATACCCGGGATGCGGAAAATGTCATGACTACACTCAACGGAAGCTCGGTCGAGGTGAACTAACGCATCCCAATTCCCAGAATGCGAAGAACTAACGCTATGTCAAAAGGAGTGTATTCTTGAGGTTTCGTCTTTCAAGCCAGATATTGAAGATAAGCCACGCCATCCCCTTCCTAGTCCGTCTCCTGCAAGAGATGGGTTATTCCGATATGAAACACCGTGCCCCAAGAATGCCGCTTGGACCCCGAGCCGTCCGAACCGCTCCCCATTTATGGAGCTCAGCCCTACCGGGCGCTCGACAGTACCTCCTGGTGAGCACGCTGGCCTCATGAATTGGATGTCTAGGGCAGGTGAAGGAGTCTTGCTTTCTCCCCGTCGTGACATTAGCCGTTTCCCTGAATTGCGCGTAAGTAATCAGAACGCGGTAGACATCGAACGGATTCGCCTCGGTCTTGATGTCCGGACTACGGTATGTATCAACCCTGAAATATGTTGATGTTCATTGCATAACCATAGTGTTGTGGGTAGATAATGCTCCGTAATATTCCGAATAAAATCGATCAGGTAAGCTCAAAGTGAACAAACTTGGGGAGGCAAATATGCAGTCTAATATGACTAGACTATGCTCAAGGCTATTGTTGATGAAACAAGCCGTGGAAAGTACGACTTTATGTACTTACGTATTGGTAAGAGATCATGGCTAGCGCACGACTTTCTGCATAAAAAGCTGACTTCTAAATGAAGACTTTGCAAATAACTGCAAGTATGTTAGACCTCAGCCATATAGCCTTATATTCTGCCATACTGACATGGTTATTCTAGCGTCGGGTATGCCTTCATAAATTTTGAGGATGTAAGACACTTACGATACTCTCCACGCATGATTTACCACCTCTAACGTTATGATAGCCGATTGATATTATCGATGTCAGTGCTAGGCCGGACGAGATTTGAGCATCTTGTGCACATCACTCACTGTTTTCTAGTTTGTAAATGTGCGAGCTGGGCGCACCTGGCAAGAATCCCTAGTACCTAGCAGGAAGGCCACGGTGTTAACGAGGTCCTACAGGAATTGCTTTAATAGCGACAAAGTTGCCGAGGTATCATACGCCAGTGAGTCATGAGTTATCTACAAGGAGTATATAGTCATCTGAGCTTTAAACAGCAATCCAAGGAAAGGATTGTCTAGTACAAAAATTTCGGAACAGCTCCGTCATGCTCGAGCATCCGTCCTTTCGTCCAAAGGTTTGCGGTGTATGCTTAGAGACATAGAAAGTGAAACTGACACCTGGGATCTAGATTTTTCATACCGGCAGTGGACATCTTGCTGGCACTGAGGATCGCTTCCCAGGACCAGATAACCCATCAAAAATGCGTCGCAGTATCGAGAATGCTGAGCATGTCGGTTAGTACGATATATGGGGGCAGTATAGAAATACCATTAACCTGATGTTGTATTCTATAGGTTTGTTTGCTCCCCGAGTCGGTCAGCAATATCGGGATGAGCAGCGTCGCCGTCGCTCGCAATTTGACCGCGGAACAACTGCTGCAGAAAGAGAAATCGTGTATGTTCGGACGCTCACCCCAAAGCATTCTTCTGGTGTTGGCAGCGGTCTAAGGAGTGCCCCTTGCACCTACCCTGCCATGAAAATGTGGTACGATCCGACTATGGACCGTGGTCCTAGGACCTCTTGATTTGGTACACTATTCAGTGGCTTTTGTGAAGTGTACACTCTGACTTGGCGATTGAAAAGAAACAAGAAAACAAGAAGAGAAGAGAAGAATAAAAGAAAGGCAAATGATAAAATTAAAAGAGAGAGAGAGAAAGGAGAGAGAATAGGAAGGGGGAAAAATAAGAGGAAGAAGAGCTAGTTGACAGTGAGTATGTGTATGGAGATCTGTTCGCATATGTCTGATTTGCGGCCTGTTGCGCAAAAAAGGGAATTATCATTACTCTCCAGGCTATCCCGCATCATCCCCTCTATTCACCTTTACTCGTCTCATGTGTCCCATATCCTTCTTAGTACAAAGTTAACTTGGAGAGACAACCGACGTTTTTGACCCGCAGGAGAAAAACATTCTATGCCCTGGTAGGCTAGGATGTGGTGTCTCGGTTTGAGTCTGAATGTTGGGTTTATCTCCCTTGGAAGCCTTTCTCTGAGAGATTCAGGTCCTTCCCATGCTCTTGAACGTTACAAAGTTTATTCATGGTTAATCAGAAAATCTACAAACCAAAGGTGAAGCTAAGTAAGGTATTTACATTGAGAAGTGCCTATGCATTGTAAACATAGTACTCCTGATTACATGGCCTTAGCCAGAGATGTGTCTAGACTTTGGATATCGAAAATATTGGGAGTATGTACATTTATTCAGGTACGGAGGATTCTGGATTCTACTCGTAACAGTGCCCCACCCGCACTTACTCCGTATTCGCCCGAGTATCCAATATGAAAACTACCCGTGAACTAAAAATCTTATGTCCAACAACGCACTGTAGGTATCCCAAGGAGAAAACACACACACGCACACACACAAAGAAAGACAAAACTAAAAAAAAAGAATTGATTTGGTCTAAGAACTGGCATATAACTGCAAACATCACGAGCTAAATAATCCGCCACCTTTCGAAATCCCGTCTCTCAAAAAGAGCAAGGTCCGAAGAAAGGGGGTTGGTCTGACGCCCTTCAGTTGTGTGTGAGTTTACCTACTGTGTCAAGTTGTATAATCGAAATGGATGCAGAGAAGATTTATGCCGAGCATTCCATACTTAAATTGGTATACCACCGCAATAAGAATCAACATAAGAGAACCAAATGGTGGAAATGGTTGTCAGTATTAAAACGTACCACCTGGAACCTCGCACGATCTCTTGACTGTATACAATCACCTAGCGGAGCGGCAGACTCCCCTGATCGATACATACAGTGTCTTGCGAATCATATTCTTCCAAGATGTTACCTGTGAGTTCTATGAAATAATATATGTCACGTGAACACAGTCACTAATGAATGATAAATTAGGACCTTCTCGACAGTTGTGGCTGATGGGCAGTTTTCTACTCTTGGGGCAGTGTTGTTAGGCACATTGGCTCGCCTTGCGAAATCCACAGGAATTGACAAAGAAATGAAGCTTGCAGCTCAGACAGAAACTCCCAGGGCCGCTTCTTCACACGCTAGGATCGACGGTCCAGAGGATGTCGGAGAGGTTCTGGCTCGAAATAACAATTTGTCAGGTCTCGGAGGATTTCTAAAGATGCCTTGTTCAAAGGCAGAAGAATGCCCGAAGTCCAGCCCGAAGAAATGGAACAAAATCACGGATACCGCCGTAAAACAGAGTAAAAACAAGAGGAGGAGGAAGAAAAAGGATGCCATTGACGACCTTTTCGATAGTCTCTTGTAGTTCTTTTTCTTACAATCTGTCAGCGCCCGTTTTCTGTTGTCAATGACTCATACTAGTCACCATTGGAAGCACCGAGCGGATTCATAGCTGTTTGACAATTATGATTCTCTGTGAATAATAACGCAGAGAGCTCATCTCTTTATAAATAAGCGCCAATCGATCTCTCCCAGTACATTTACCACAATGTGGTTGATCATCGCCCATGCCATAGTGTAAAGGTATTTCGGGGAGAAGACCGTCCAGATAAAAAGATGTGTCCTTAAAATTGTACACGCCGCCATCACTGACATTAACATTGTTGTCAAATGAAAAGTCAGTATGGTTATATGCGCCTGCTTTTCTTCCCGATTCTGCGGGGAACGGAGCAGCCTACTGGCTGAGACCCACCATATTGGGGCGGCCCAGTTGCTGATGAATGTCAAGGCACCGACGATAACAACATTGTAGGCACCGACACCATTATATGCATTTGAAAGATCAACTGATGAGATAGCATTTGAGCCTCCAAATGCGTAAAAGGTCACATATTGCATGAGCAGAGAGGTTATGGTTTGTTCCACGGTTGATAAACGCATCGATGCGATGATGGTGATTTGTAATCTAAAAATTAGAAAAGCAGGTATGTTCGTCACTCTCGATTGCATCAGTAAGAAAAGTGTGAGAGTCTCGTGAAAGATTGTGCTTGTTGGCCCTTTTTTTCTGTCAGAATCATTCGGTAAGGTCTTTGAGATCAATACTTGCCAGTGCCCTTATGAATCGATCCCCGGGCTTTTCCAACATACATGGAGTATATCATGAGAAGAGATATTCCACAAAGAACCATTCTTGCATGATAAAGCAGGTGCATTCCATCAGCTACCATGGCCACGGGCTGCAAGAAGGAGTTACCGAGAAGTTCGGGAGAGTCGGATGCCGCCAATGATAACTTGAAAAGAAAGGCTGCCAGCGTCACCACACAACTAATAAAACGCCAAAGCACTGATGCAGGAAGGTCGAAGAGAAGGTGCAAACAAGTATCAGCGTATGTCAGAATCACCAAAGCCCACAAAGTATGCTGATGGGAAGGAAAAAAGGACCCGGTAATGTCCGGCTGAGCAGCAAATTTTTGGCCTGTCTGATTCCATCTTCGCAGAACTCGATAAGACACTGCTAACGTAGCTGCACCAAACCTGGGAAGTGAGGGTACAAATGGCCAGTATCCTTCCGCTGGACCAGATTTTTGGATTGACTTGCGATGGAAGTAACCAGCATATTTAAGATGTAGGTAAACCACCCATCCCATCGATACCCAGTACCAGAACTGCTGTTCTTCTTCCACGTAGCTACTTGCAAACATCATGGTACTATAACTTAGGATGTTAAATCCCAAAAATATTCCTGCCGGCGCGAAGTTCACTAGCAGCCTTTTGACTGGGAAAAAGGTAAGTGAGATAGCAAAGCCGGCAATGGAAAGCCCGATATAGAGCCTTAAAAGGTTATAATCACTCGCAGCTCTGCTCATAAGTCTCTGGGCACTCCTCAAAAACAGTAGAAGAGCAGACTCGACCTCTGAAGAGGCTCCACGATCGTAATCAGCACCCGATCTATTGAGTAGTTCAAGCACTCGGAACCAAGCGCACTGAACACGCTCAATATCGGTCAATGATTGAGAGCTACAATTAGCTGGCATCAAATTAAATTCAAAACTGTAACTCGGAAACGATCCTTTAACGGCTTTTAGCAACTGCTTGGCGTTTTCGAGCAGCATATGAATCCTGTGCGGTCCTGATGTCGAGATCAGGGGTGATGACTTAGCTTTTTTGTTTAGTCCGAATGATAAGAGACCCTTACCGTAATCCCACATCTCAAGAAGCTCTGGGATAAAGACACCTAGGCTATTCAAGGGAATCGGCAAGCCTAGCAGCCCCGCCAGTGTCGGTGTGATATCTGTCTGTTCAACAGTATGGTAATATTGCAGGTCACTGAATTCTTCCGTTGGACTATCGTTTCGAGTTTCGAGTCGCTGAAATTTAGGCGATATGAAAAGCAGAGCCGGTGAAGTTTCGCCCACAGATGAACCACCATGATTCCCAGCATCGTTCATCCCATGGTCACCACATAATACAAAGAGGGTGGTCTCAAGATGTTTCTCTTGCTCCAGAGCTGTGTACACTATGTTAACAACAGAATCCATCTCATGTTGCTTTGCTATCATGTATGGGCTAGAGATGTGTCAGGAGAATGTTACAAAATACAATAGCGGCTGTAGCACCTTACCTATTAGGTCCAGCTTTGTGTCCTATGTGGTCAAGACCAAGGAAGTGCATTATCAAAGCTGACCAGTCATCTTGCAAGAGTTCACTGGGGATGTGACGAGTCACATTATTGTCTACCTCTGTGAAGTCCTACAACGATGCTTAGCTCTGCCTATGACTGCAAGTCTAGAAATGTCACTTGGAGTGTACTGACCGAAACAAAGAAGCTCGTAGTCCCATCAGCCCTGTGAAACATCCCAGGAAATAACTTCAGCCAAGTGTCATCCCCATACATGACCATTTTACCACCTTTTGCTTTCAATTGTGCTAACCATGTATCTTGGTGCGTGAGAGTCGCCGAGGTATCAGCCTCTGCAATGTTAAGTATCACATCTAGAAATGACGGCACGGACCCTGTTGTTATGGCTTTCAGCCGGGGCATTGTGACAGTCGGAGCGCTAGCATAGGCAGTGAATGGGAGAGCAGCGCCTGACCGAATTAAGCTATGGAGTTCTTGTTAGTGTGTGTGGTTGAATGAGAATCCCGATCCTTCTAACCTTTGAGTGAACAGAAACCCAGAGTTTTGGGAATAAACAAAATCGCTAGTATGAAAGTTAGCCTGAAGTACCGGGATCTCAGTGATGTTTGCGATCGTACCTCCGCAATGCATCGACTACCATAAAGACAACTTTGTCGAATACACCCGGCGGAATTTGACTGTTATTGGTGTGTTCATTTGTTGCAAAGCCCGGGAGCAAATTCTTATAAGGGAAAAAGCCAGAGGAAAAGACGAGAATCGATATGGGGACGAGTATGTTGGCGATGAGTATCGTCCACTTCGATGTCGCAACCTTCATGGCTATTTCTCGGTGGCAGAAGCCACAAGCTGGAGCAATGTCAAGCAAGTTATGTTGGCCTATACCGTACCCAAGCTGGCATGTCCAGATCTGTTACACTGTCCATGTAGTTAAACTCAAGCAAATAGTGTCAACATCATTAGGGGTATACTTCGATCGGGCTACTGTATACAAAACTACCTATATTCATCACACCGCCTTCTGTTTGAGGATGTGCATTTATCCGATGTGCGGCATTCCGTGTTGCCGTGTTGGCCAAGTTCCCGACACAAGATGAGGAGCTACGAACGCCTCTGGACTACAGAACGGTACAGAGTAGAGGCTATATAAATATAAGTCGGAGACATTCTAGCCTCGTCTGACCCCCTTGTTCGGAGGCGGGAATATTTACCCCAAATTCGATGGGACCCCCTGGTGACGCTGTTGTTGTCATAAATTCTAATTGTTATTGATCATAACTGAAACACGATGAGAGGATGTTGTAGATAACCCCGAACGCCAATCTAGTGTTTATAAACAAATGGTGCCTAAAAATTTTACCTCCTCTTCGGGCCCTTATTCTTGGACTGGTGTGGACGGAACACAATGGACGAGCGATTCTTTCTGTTGCTGTGGCGTTTATGAATCCGCCCTCCTTTGTGAGAGCGACTCTGAGTAGTTTTAATGGAGCCGTTATCAATGTCCATATCTAGAGAGTGAGACTTTAATATGCAGAAAAACTGACTAGAGGCCGTGTGTGAGACTGACCTTCATTTGGTTGTAATATCTTAGTCTCTTCCTGGCGATCTGTATAGCACGATGACTTTGTGAGTTCCTCGCGAGATACAAGGGTACTTAGATACACACGAAAGAAATTGGAGGGGGAACCTACCCTTCATATCCAGTGCCGTATCTAACTTTTCTTCATTACTTGGTTTTGGCTGGGAGGCAAGTTCTTGCAGTTTAGCTGAGAGCCTTTCAGTTCGCGCATCAACAACTGGCCCAAAGACTGTGGCTCGCAGTTTCGCTCTATTGCGCTTTTGGACACTCGCTCGGACACTCTTTGCCATGTCGATGGTAGAAAAAAGGAAAGAGGAATAAGATACTGAGATAAACGCGTTATCCTCAATTATAAGACGAAGCAGAGAATGGCTCTGTGAATGTGGTCAGTCTTTCACTTTTCATGGTCGATCTTTTCTAAGTTCAAGGTTTTTTTTTTTTTTTTTTTTTTTTTTTCTTTTTTTTTTTTTTTTTTTTTTTTTTTTTTTTTTTTTTTTTTTTTTTTTTTTTTTTTTTTTCCCTTCCCTTTTTGGATTAGCTGCTCTTGTCTTCTCTACTGTTGTAAATTACGGGCGGTGGATATCTTATGTCATCCTATCGGAGACCGTTTTCTCACCTCCGCAATCATCGCCGACTGGACCGGTCGCAAAACAATCCCAGCTGGGGTGTGTGCCAACCGAAGCTCTGTTCTTTTCATTAAAGCAGTCTCCTGGTAGTATTTCAAAGCGAGGTTTACTTTTGGAACTTTATCCTATCTTCTCTCTTTTTTGCCTTCGCCAAATCAAGTAAAGAGAAGGATTGAGATGTCTTTTATCAGAGTCGCCAGATATTGTGCGCCTGTTTTGGAATCCCCTCTTGAAATTCTTCTTACTCTTTGAATGCTATAACAGCTGATCGCACCACTCTTACTACCATCATGGCCTCTGTTTGCCAGTCGTCCGAGCTTCAAAGCGTGGTTGCTTTGGTGAAAACAATGACGAATGCGCAGCTAAAGGAGATACTGAGAAGTGAGGGGCTCGCTGTTTCTGGAGTGAAAGCTTCACTTCAGCTCCGAATTATTGATTGTCTGTTGTCCTTGTAGTTTCTCGGCGTTGTTTTCCAGCCAACGGGGCTTCCAATAGTATTCACTTGAAGCACACAAGAGTTGATCAGATGTATAGAAAGCTAACTATTTCTTGGATCTGCTAGTCATTGAGAGACTCAACCAAGGAGGGCAAATTGAGCGGTACGATAACTTGAAGAGAGCTGTGTACGCCACTGCACATCGATCAATGCCGCAGCCTTCAACGCCGCAGTCATTACCTAGTCACCAATACCAGTCTTCTTCAGCTAACCAACCGTTGCCAACACAACACCGACCATCGCCATTGAGCGCACCGATGACGTCGCATGGACTCACTTCTGGTATACTCCCGATGCCAATCTTCATGTTTTTACATTCCGGGATAAATTCTCATTTGCTTCTAGGCCAGTTAAATTTCAAAGAAAGTCCTTTCTACACTGTTATCCAGCAGCTTACACCTGTTGTAGAATGCAAAGGTGAGTTTTCAGATGTCACTCCTCAGTTTGCCATGTCTGTTCCCGTCTAATATCGCAAAGTACGCGAACAGACTAGGGACAGTGTAGAACTTAGGGTGATTCTCAACCAAGATGTAGCTTCAAGGTTACACGCCGATCCGAACCTACGGATAATGGTTTACTGTGCTGCAGATACTGGGCTTAATCAGTATACGAAATCGGACATTGCTTTCCCTCACCAAGTTGAGCTGAAAGCAAATCTTGATGAGGTGAAAGCTAACTTGCGAGGCCTCAAAAACAAGCCCGGTACGACGAGGCCTGCTGATGTGACAGACTATATTCGCAAGAAACCTGGATATCCGAATCATATTGTTATGACCTATGCCCTCACTACAAAGGCAAGCGTTGAGCCCGGGTTGATCTCTTTATCTCGTTTTCTTTCCCTTTCCATCCAGCACCCTCTCAGTTCTGATATCAAGCCTCCAGTGCTGACCTGCTATTAGAGATTCTTTGTGCTTGGCAGTCTCGTTCAGCGGCATCCAGTTGAGGAACTTGTAGCTGAGTTGAAGATGAGGAAGATAATCTCGAAGGACCAAGTACTACGAGAAAGTATGTCCATTTCTCTTCGGTGTCTATTAGAGGACAATTTTAAAAGGCCAGCAGTGAAAAGCAGAGCGAATGACACGGACATCGTTGCAACATCTAGTGTTATGTCACTGAAGTGTCCTTTATCTACCCTTCGAATCGCGGTCCCCTGTCGCTCGGTAATATGCACTCATAATCAATGCTTTGATGCATACTCTTTCCTGCAATTGCAAGAACAGGCCCCAACGTGGTCATGTCCCGTGTGTTCTAAAGCGACCAGCTTTGAGTCATTACAAATCGATCAGTAAGTTCATCATGGAGCGGTTCTGGTTTTGGTCCTGGTACTGACAATATAGGTATGTTGATGATATACTTCGCTCAACATCTCCAGATGTTGAACAAGTTGTTATGGAACCAGACGGCAGATGGTCAAATCCGAAAGTCGGCGACGTTTCAGAAGCTGGTGGAGTTACTCCTGAGTCAGACGATGATGATCTAATAGAGATAAAGGAACTTGGAAACACGCCCGTTAAACAGGAGTCTCTTCCAGCCGCGAGTTTATCTCTACAACAGACCCCAGCTCAATCACGGGAGCCTTCATCGACATCATCTGTAACTCGTTTGTCAACAAACAAACGTCCTGCAGCCCAGGTGATTGACCTTACGGGGAGCGATGACGATAATGACGATGGTTCCCCTGTAAGGCCACTAAAACGGCCAGCTTTGAGCTTGCTAAATCGATCTTTACCCCGGCAAGAATTTCAGAGTTCATATAACACTGCTCTAGCAAATGGCAGGACTGCTCCTCGCGCCGGTCAGACTAGTTCTGAATCTCCCACCCAAAGAAGTGGCTATAATGCATAATCTCACTTTATCAATCTTAGCATCTAACGGCGTCGCGGCGCATTCGGTTTACGGTGTTTGATAACATTGCATAAGTTCAATTGGAGAATGAATTCGTTCACATCTTTTTTGTATATGGGATAAATCATACTCTACGTTCTGTCGTTTGTTCATTTGGCTTCAATGTAGCAAGACCTCGCCTAGCATGGGGTTCTTCCCGGGGGCATAAGTTTCGAAGAATAGTTGCGAGGGAGAGCAGAAAGAGACACGGATCTATGTTTCATTAATCGTGGCCTATGCATGTATCTTTTAAGTAGACTCTTAGCATGACAATAGTGCATGGCGTCGGCGGCCAATTCCATACATCAGATTAAAGAGTTAATTAGTTACCTTAAGCGTTTGGACAATTGCTTGTGGACTGGGGAGGCCAATAAAATCAAATTCAATGGAGGCTGAAGCGGAACCGCTGCTACCGACACTCTTTACTACGTACTTATTTAATCAACGGAGATCAACCGTGGCCGCATGAGGTAAGAACCAGCCATCCTTCCGTCACCCATTCTCTGTCACACAGTGGTGGAATTGAGCCAGAATTCTCCCATGATTTCTATAGAGGGGGCATGGGATACGATTACTGATTCCTAAAGATAACCGCTGTTACTGCGCTCCAACCAGCTACAGACTTATCTCGGGGGCCATCTTCATCTTCATAAGGGGCCAACAACAAACGACATTTAAACGTGATGTCGCTCGATGCGCCAGCTTCGGCGTATAGTATCTCTGAGCCCCAGGCACGGGCTCTAAGTGCTTCATGTCTTGATTTCCTCCTAATAGAGCTGGTACCTATGGCAGAACGCCTGGCGAAGGAACTCTCAGCCGATGATAAGACTCCCGATGACGATGAGATTAGGGAAACAACATTTTTCCGCCTCGAGTCTCTTGGATACAGAGTTGGACAAGGTCTTGCAGAAAGGTAAGCTACGGTATTTTGGGGGGACAAGAAAATCCACCCATTCAGTTCTTTCTAAATCCAGGCTAACCATGTGTTTTTATGCCTATGCTCTCTGTAGATTCTCTCGAGACCGCCCTAGATTCTCTGATAATCTTGATGTTATCAAGTTTTTATGCAAAGACTTATGGACCATCCTTTTCAAGAAGCAGGTCGATAATTTGAAAACCAATCATCGGGTATGCACACCCACGTCGCCATATGAACACAAGTTTATCGTCGCACGTCAGCTCCTACATTGAGAGAGAAGCGGGCCGACTGACAAATCCTTATAGGGAGTATATGTTCTGACCGATAATTCATTTCGGCCATTTGCAAGGATGAGCATGTCTATGAGAAGCGAGGCGGTGTCCATGGCTCACGCGGTATGGGATTACCAGTTGACCCCTTAATTAGCCAATAATTGTTATTGTCTAACCAAGCTCTAGTACCTATGGTTCCCATGTGGTGTCATTCGAGGCGCTCTATCAAACCTGGGAATTAATACTACTGTTCAGGCCGAGACGGGTGAGCTTCCAGGAGCAACATTTCAGATCAAAACAGTCCAACCCAAATCATGAATGGAGTGCGAACAGCTGGCCCGTACGTTATCAAGATGTCCATTCTCGCAGCGGAGATAGCCTAGAGGCAATACTTCAAAACGACCTGAAAATCGAGCCCAGCACCAGATAGACTGGATAGCCGATTCGGCTAATGCTCTACAATCGGGTCACAGGCCACTTTTCCTGCTCCTACAGTACATTGAGACAAGTGCGTGCAGATATGAGGAGTACAATTGCGTTTCCATTCTGCCTGTCTTTGCTATCCTCTTCCACCGAAACGACACGATTCCACATTTATCCATTCGTCTTTAAATAATCTCATGCTTCAAAGCCTATCTTGCTCAGGTATCAATGATTAGCGGGATTCTTTCAGTTTCGTGAATTGGAAAGTAAGTCACCGAAGGAACGAGGTCCTTTCGGTGGAGACAGGAGTGCGATATAGATGGCAAATAACCGACTGGTGGGTGGGAATCCTGCAGCTGATGAACGGGGGTGGGCGCGTTTACTTTGGTGGTGGGTTCTTGACGAAGTCGATGCCCTTATCGATATTACCCTTAAGGCCTTTCGTGCAAGCCTCGAGGAGCTTCTTTTCCTTGTCGGTCACGCCCTCCAGAACGTTGCTAGCCTTCTCTGCGCCATTGGTCTGTTTGATAGTGTTAGCCTACCGTGGTATGAAAGAAGATTCTGTGAGGTTTTGAATCTTACTCCTAGGGTTACGAGAGTAGAGAAGAATTCCACGCCAGTTGCCTGGACAATCTCATCACCACCGGGAATTCCAGGCAGGTAGACGAAGGTAGGCTCGACAATGCCCGTTTGACCCTTCGAAGCTTTGATAACACTCTCGGCGAACCTATGGCATGTTAGCCGCGGGTATTTTCACAGCACGCTAGTATCCCTACCTGTAACCGGCATAGGCCATAGACAAGGTTGCGGAACCAGCGCCCTCCTTAGCTTGGACCACCTCATCTCCACCAAATTGGACACCTGAAGTAAGGTTAGTGGTTACAGCCGGGTATTCATGAGATTCTTTGGGACTACCCACGGTGGATCAGTGCGTCATACTTCTCCTCGGGTATCTGAACCGCGGGAGTAGTCTTGCTGAATAGGGGGACAATGGTCTCGCCAGAGTGGCCACCCACAACTGGGATTTTAACATCAGAAGGATTCTTCTGGCCCGAGAACTCTTGGGTGAAGGTCTCTGCACGAACGACATCCAGGGTGGTGACACCGAAGAGGCGCTTGGGGTCAAAGACGCCAGCAGCTTTGAGCACCTCTGCAGCAATAGGAACAGTAGAATTAACGGGGTTTGAGATAACCAGAACAAAGGCCTTGGGGCAGAACTCGGCAATGCCCTTGACCAAGTCTCGCACTATGCCGGCGTTGATCTTGAAGAGGTCGTCACGGGTCATACCAGGCTTGCCTATTAACAATCAGAAAACCAACCACCAGCGAAATATATAAGGAGAAATGCGAAAGGGTAGGGACTTACGAGGGATACCGGCCGGAATGACAACAATGTCAGCACCAGTAAGGGCATGCTTCAGCCCATCATCCTTGGGCAGAAAGCCGGAGATTTTCTAATCGCTCAGGTTAGATACCATTTTCGCCCCTTCCATGGGGCGATTTGTATTAAGGCAGCGACGTACAGCGATAGATGAGATGTGGGAGAGATCAGCAGTAACACCAGGAGTGTTTACAACATCGTATAGAGCAAGCTCGTCAACCAAGGGACAGGTCTTCAACAAGAGAGACAGTGGCTTGATAGATAGTTAGTATCAAACAAGGTCATATTGAGATCACGGAGGTCAGGGATAGAGATATACCTGGCCAATGCCACCAGATGCTCCAAGTACCGCTGCACTTCGAGTTAGTACTCATGGAAAGTGCCATCTGCTAAAGATTACTAACTCACCTGCTTTGACCATGATGGAGATTTATGAATCAAACAATTGAATTGGTCTGTTCCGTTATAAAGGGATGTGTTAGCGATCTGGGCAGTTTGAAGGACAAGGAGGATAAAGAAATGGATGGAGACCGTCAATGTGGGGTGGAGGATGGAACACTGGGTTTAAAGCAGGGAAAGAGGGGTAAATGAGCCAAGAGGGGAGGGAAAGGAAAAGGAAAAGGAAATTGGGGGGGAAGAGGGGTGGGGGGAGGGGTACGGAAGCAATCAAGTAGATATAATCGGGAGATTGTACGCCCAGTAGTAATCCTGTCTGAGGAAAACCCCTACACATATATATAGCTCTTGTGTCTCTTGATTCCTAGGTATGACTGACAGTTCCCAAGATCAATCACATGTGGAGAAAACCACATTACTGAGTCCGGAGTACCTAACACATTACTAGATCGTCATATCCACAGGAATTAGTATTATTGGGAACCAATACGAATTACAACACCCTTTCCCCAAACCTCCGGTACTACAGTTATACAGCTCAACAGATTCCGGCAATTTCCTTATAGCGCACCACTTGCATACCGGGGTCCTGCACAGCACGATGTACACCGCACAGTACATCCTGTACCTGATGATAGGATGCATTGTAAGGGCTGTGTGTATGCCATACATACATACATACAGCAAACAAAATAGTATCCGAGCCATGGGTTGGATCCATGGAAATAATAGGTAATTCCTAGCCATCCCAGCCACCCATACCACGTCCTTAACTTCCTTACGGCTCCCCCCGAACAAGTCGACGGCCCGGATTCCGGCAATTCCTCTATTCATGGATCCTACTACCATGCCCGAGGCCATCAGCCGGTTTTGTACCATTGGGCCGTTGAGACCTCGGAAAAAGGCGGGTGGGTGATCTGGATCTATCTACGGTTCAAGGAAAACAGCCTCGCGCTTATCCCTAAAACCTTTCGTCCCCCGTCGGCCCGAACATCGGCTGTAGAATCCTTTTTATTACTAGAAGCATGTGCTAAGTCTTGTGACCATAACACCAGCTGGAGAATAAAACTACGACGTAGAGTTTGATCGTTCCCCCGTCAATCGGACTAGGTAAACCAGGGTGGACGTCCGGGGAAATGGGTATTCATATCTCGTGTTTCTTTGTGTTTTTGTCTTTTTGGTTCTTTTAATTTTGAATGGCCTGGTGCACATTTGCCCCGGTAGCAGTATTGCTAAATTACATGGGCGCTTCCGCCCTTGACCAGCATGGCGCCACTATGCTTGATGCGCCCAACCCTTGCGATTACTCGTCTTCGAGTCCTGTCCTTTATGCCGACTCTTGCTCAGCGGCCTTCCGGGCCTGAGCACCTCTGGGCTTCTGGGGGGGAGTATCCTTCTTAGGCTTCTGAGAACGGCGAATGGCGCTCACACGAGCAACAGCGTCCTCACGGAGGTCAGCACGGTAGCCGTTCTTTGCGGTCTTGTCTGCAACACCCTTGTAGATCCTAACAAAAGTGACAACCAGGCAGTTAGCACAGACACGTGATAGTTGATTCTTCACCCATGAAGAGTGAGGCGGTCGGTTCTGCTTACTTGCGGGTAGAGGCCTTGGGGCCAAAGGTCACGCGAACGGCATTCTTTCCAGGCTGCTGGGCATTGCCAGACTTCTTGGTAATAACAACAACGCCACCGTTCTCAGTGGGCTGCACACCAATAGCCTGTTATCGCAGGTTAAAACAAGTCCGGGCATACATTTAAGTCATTGGTGGCTGTAGGGCGTGAATACCTTGGTGTTGGCGTATCCAGCGTACTGAAATAAAGCGATATCAATGTTAGTCATCGGCACTCTGAGCTAGGAGAATCAAGGAAAATGAAAACAGCCTCTGTATGAAAATCATCGGCATCAGGGCTCTCGTACCTTGAAAGAGTGCTTGTTCTGCAAGTTCAAGGGATCACGGGAGAACTGAGAGCCACCGCCGCTGTTACGCTTGACCAGAAAAGCATTCTGGTTGCCTGTTCATAATGTTAGGGATTAGTTGGACATCCAGGGCATCAGATAAATTGACGTAGATGGATGGAGAGTAGGTATGAATGCCGAGTATGGCGTAGAAGAGTTAAACGTACGGGTGAGCTGCCAGACCAGGTCGCTGGAAACGTTCTGTCTTTGAGCGGCCATTGTGAATTATCTCTTTCAGGCTGGTGGATTGAGGACGGATCGAAATCAGTCGACGCAAAGGCTGGTATACTGAACGATGGATTGTGTGTGCCAGCGCCAAGAATGGCAGTCTGCGGTCTCGCTAAGCGGACCGCTTTAGGAATAGTGCATGGAAACAGGGTTGCTGCCTCAGATCGAAGGCATCGCAGAAGTGTTCAGCCACAGACCCACTTGCCTCTTCCAGGCCTTCCCTTCTCCGTTCTACGGAGTCCTACTATTAGACCTCCCCAGGCTACCAGGTTATCCTGGTTCCAACCCAAAGCATCATATGCTCTGACGGTGGCAGCTGCCTGCCAGTTGAAAATCCCTCATTCATAATTTTAGGAGTTTTGGCCATTTGAGCTTCGCAACACTTTGCCGTTCACCTCCGGTATTGGGGAGGCCGTTAACGTTATCACACTGTCTGTTGTTTGACTAGCTTTGCAGCCATCCAACTGACCTAGTCGCCATGGCATACTATCTTCTATACGTTTTGACAATCTCTGTTGTGGTTTGCGGTACAGGTATATTGCACTCAGGCTAATCCAAAAAGTAGTTCCGACTGGGTATCATGCTGATAAGTTTTAAAGTCCTCTATCTTACCCGGTCCCGTTGGTTGTCTTTAGTCCCACTTCCTGATTACATATACGATCGCCTACCTTCCAGTTTCGCCGATGACCTAGAGGCGGGACTGACATCGACGCAGTTTGACCTCTCCGCCAACATTGCAGATGGCGACACTAGGGCTGGGTTGGATAACCAAGCTAAACGGCAAATCAGGAAGATCATGAAACGCCAAAGGATAGACTTTGATGAAGCTCGCCGGATATATACCGAGCAGCGTTTTGCTAAGAATAACATTGGTCCCGATGGCCGGCCCAGGGACCCGAAATTTGTTTCATTCTCATAACATGGCGTTGGCCATGAGACACTTTCTGTACCGTATTACATGCAACCATTGATTCTTTTCCCTTTCTTCACTCTTTCCTCTTTTATAGGGCCCTGGCAATATGTCTGCGAGACTTCATATGAAAGTTCTTTTTCATTTTCCCTCTCTATCCAAGTCATAAATATCCTTAATGCACAAAGCCAAGTACCTGCTATAGACACACTAAGGATCGATGACGTTTGTGATTGCACTCTCAACTAGCAATTTATTTAAAATAGCCTTGCCTCTAATTCTCATTGTCCTTAGAATCTGAGCTTCAAGAGATCTGCCTATATGCATTAAAACCACGGGTCCTATTTCATGCAATGTCTGCACCTAATGAAAGGTGCAACCATGAGTGCTAGAAGAGAGAACAATAGGGAGGGTTCCATTATACACATGTTGTGTGCTCCGCTAAATCTGAGTCCAGCACTGATATCGGGGTTATCGATTGGCTGGTATGCGAAAGAAATTGGGTTCGGGTTCTTCCCAGTTTTCAAGGATGTTCGTTTCCCACCTAGCTTTTCGGGCCTATTCTTCTGATGAATTGTTACATCATATCCAAGCAGCTCCCAACCAAGTACTCATTGGGAAGGGGACTAACTTCCAAACTAACACATTGAGCTGAATGCTCATCGGCCCCGACCATAGGCTGGCTGCTGAAATCCTGGGGGTAATGGTGGCGGGGGTGCTGCATTCCCAGTAGGAGGGCCAAAGCCGGGAGGCGCGAAGCCTGGAGGTGGCGCTGTTTGTGGAGGAAAAGATGGTTGCTGACCCGTATTGTTGAAGGCTGGAGGTAAGAAAGCCTGCGGTGGACCTCCATAGCCGGCTTGTGAAGGTGGAGGCCGTGCTGGCAAGCCTGGTGGTGGATTTGCCAGAGGTGTCGCAGGTGGAACAGACCTGTGTTGTTGTGGGGGAGGCACATTCGAAAAACCAACATTAGGGGGGGCAACGCCTCTGCCTATCCCTAGGTCAGGAGGTCCAGTGCTGATCGGCCTAGAGCTGTCACCATTGGCCATGGTCGCGGGCACCATAGGGGTCCCTGAACCTGAGAATGGTGATGGTAACGGCTGAGTCGGCGGGCGTACGTTATGCTTGCGGGCTTGCGCAGCTAACATCCGCTCAGCCTGATCACCATGACGTTCACCCTTGCCATCTTTCTTATAGGCGTATTGTACCGAGACCTGTTTATTCATGAGGTACTGGCCATTCATGTTTGCTATGGCGGCATCCGATGACTCAAAATCGCCGAACGACACAAAACCATAGCCCTTTGATAGATTATTGTCATCCCGTGCAATCTGCGACAAGGTTAGCCCACACCTCTCAAAGACGGCAGATAGTCGAGATTACCTTCGGTAAATTGACCAAATTCCCAAACCGACTAAATGTATCATAAAGGACTTGTTCCGTGACCATGGGGTCAAGGTTCCCAACAAAAAGTTCTGCGCCAATTTCCACCGACTTCTGCTTGTCAGCAGACGCTTTGTTCACGCGTATTGGCTTCCCATATAAACGGATGCTGTTCATTATTCGGGATGCATATTCTGCATCCTCTTCGCTGATGAATTCAACAAACCCGTAACCTTGGTGGGACTGTGTGACTCGATCTTTCGGCAGGTGAACGTTAACGATGCGCCCTGCCTGCAGCATCAACTCCCATACCAGGCTATCTGTGACCCTTTCATCAAGATTGCCAATGTAGACGGTGGCCTCTTTATCCTGCTCCCTATAGCAGCTGTTAGTGTCTGAAACTCTTGTAACCCCTAGAATGGGGAAACAGCCACTCACCAATGCCTTGCACCGGACATGGCGGCGCGTATGCAGCGTAGCGATAATCGGTAGGTAGACGACCTAGCAGAAAGTACCTAGGAGATAATATGTAAGATTGCCGATAATATGGTACAAAAGCTATCAGACAGTGATTGTGTTAGAACGAGATGTGTCGAATCAATGTTTAACAAAGGTGGGAGTAGGGTGAATACAATATTCCTGCAGTTGGGTTTATCGGCGGCAGCTGTTTTTAGCCCCCGAAAAGTTTTGAGCTTTCGCCGTCTTTCTTCCTTCTCCGCCAACTACGTTATTCTCCGCTTTTACTTAACTGACATCCTTTCCTTTTGCTTTGGCAATTCTACCCTCAAACAATTTACCAAGATTTGATCCTTTTGGAGATATAATATCCACCGCTGTCTATCCCAATAAAGCTCTCTGGATACCTACACTCTTCGTGGCTATCACAATGGTTCAGTTTTCGGAAGAGACCAAGGTTAGACATACAATCCTCAACAGAACCACGTAACGATTACTGATAGTCTTCTTTACGTTAGGAGCGCATCTCCAAGGTTATTGATGTTTCAAGGGTCGCTATTCACTAGTGAGTCGTCCGACACATGAGCACCGTGAAATACGACAAAAACTGACTCGGCGTGCAGCGGATATCTGCCCTTGATTGTTTATCTTGGTATGGTGACTTTATTTTATTGCGACATGGACGTTTTGAGAACTATGTGTACTGATTAAGCTGATAGGTTATACGTATAGCGAACCCAAACCATCTTTGTTCAAGTATTTCTAACGAACTCCTTCCCTCGCCTTCCCGATATCAGAAATTGGAGCTGATGTTATGGCCAGGTTGTTTTCACCGCTCGCATAAAGTGTATGAGCTCCAAGGATTTGCCGATAATAAATAACAGTCTTTCAGGGCCGAGAGGTTTTCTTTTTTTTCTGTTGTGCCTTTTTCGCCTACAGCGGGAGTTTTCAACTCATGGCTGAGCGAAGGATGGGAAGTCTGTCTTGTTCAGTTTATTATGTCGATGATTGGGAGCTTCAAATTAACACCATGTATTTTTAAGGATTTTTTTTATTTATATCAGGGTACTTTCTGATGATGAACATATATGACTGTGCTTCGGTCTGTAGAAGTTGACTGTCAAGCGCTAGGTGAATAAGCATGAGCGGAATACTACGAGGAAAAAGGACTTCTTGGATAACCGACAGACCCTGGGCCTTCCGACCATTCCTTAATCGAATGAATTGACTGGACATGTGTCTAAATTAAATCGCAGCCAATTCGCCGTTGGTCTGAGAAAGGTCCTTGTTATCTATAAATTGATTACTTCCTGATCTAGGCGTGAACAGGCAATATCCGCCGCCGAACTGTAATCGATACGCGGGCCGAGGGAGACGAAAAAGTCGATGACGGAACCAACCATCCGTCACTCTACCAAGCTATACGAACGCAACCCAGGGAGGAGTAACAAAAGGTTCATGAACGGGCAGGATGGCTTGTCGTCATCCTTTGTGGAGAGCGTAGCGGGGTTCACGGCTGGAATTGTTTCTACTTTGTGTCTCCATCCCTTGGATTTGATCAAAACTCGACTGCAAGGTAAGCCGGGTCCTTGTGTGTATACGCATGCAATCCTCTGCCCCTACTTCTGCCCTTCATTTCGATTGAGTTGACACTCGCTTGGGATGGATGAGTGTGTGCGATGGTCGCTAAATCTTCTCACCCCTGAATGACTTAGTTGACCGATCCTCATCCTCTCGAGTGGGCGGTTCGCTTCGCGTCGTCCGCGGTATATACCAGAATGAAGGCGGCATCAGAGCGTTCTACCGGGGACTGACGCCCAATATCATCGGCAACTCGACCAGCTGGGCCCTTTATTTCTTGTGCTATGGCAATATCAAGACTGCAATGCGTACTTGGCGCAGCTCTCGGGAGGAAGAGCTTACATCCTCCGATTATTTTCTTGCCTCGGGGGCCGCTGGTATGCTTGAATTCTTAACGCTGGCTCGCAAATCTGAATTTTGTGGTGACTGACTTAATCGGTTCTTTACATCAGGCATGCTGACATCTATCTTGACAAATCCTATCTGGGTCATTAAGACTCGTATGTTATCGACTAGTTCTAGGACGCCCGGAGCGTATGCATCTTTCACCACTGGTGCCTCACAGATATATAATCAAGAGGGTATTCCAGGCTTCTATCGTGGTCTTCTTCCAGCTCTTTTTGGAGTAAGCCATGGCGCGCTCCAGTTCATGGCTTATGAAAAGTTGAAACTGCACCGGATCAAGACATCATCTGCGACGATGTCTAGCGATGGCTATGCGGGATCAACACAAGTGCGGTGGCGAGGACTCGGTAACCTAGATCTCTTCATCATCTCTAGTCTCTCGAAAATATTCGCCGGGGTTGTCACATATCCATACCAAGTGTTGCGGTCCCGGTTGCAAACTTATGATGCTCATCTTATGTACCGGGGGGTTCGAGATGCGGCTTTGCAGATCTGGGCCAGAGAGGGAGTGGCCGGTTTCTACAAGGGTCTGGGGCCAAATATATTGCGGGTGCTGCCAAGTACATGGGTCACATTTTTGGTGTATGAGAACACCCGAGCATATTTACCCGAACTGATATCACGCGCATAGTGCGCTTCCATCTTTTTTTTT